ATTTACTAGATTTGAGCTCAAACAATTTGTCAGCTTCATTGCCTCTTATACCTTCCATCTGTATGCACCCAATCTTTCCAGTAATGCTTTGTCAGGATCAATCTCCCATTTCTTGTGTTATGGAATGAATGAGTAAAAGAACCTGATTGAAAAGTTAGTTCTTAGAAATAACTTTTTAGCTGGAAAATTACCAGATTGCTGGATGAATTGGAAACACTTGACAAGCTTGAATTTAGATAACAATAAATTTTCTGGTAACCTTCCAACCTCCACTGGAACTTTATGTTCCCTTATATCACTACACTAGATTTCTTTGCTTGATTTGAAGCATTTGCGTTCCTTGGACTTAGAGTGATAATAATTTTGAAGGAATACAAATTCCTAGATTTCTTGATTCTGTCAGGATTTAAGATACCTCAATCTCTCCCAAAATCACTTTCAGGGTATGATTCCTCACCAACTTGGAAATCTATCTAATTTGCAATATCTTTGCATCGGTAGTTTCTGGGCAGCGAAGTCATTCGTTGAAAGTTTTTGGTGGTTATCTAGTCTTTCTTTGTTGGAACACCTTGATTTGAGTGTGGATCTCAGCAAATCCTTTGATTGGTTGCAGGTGATACACAGACTCCCTAACTTAGTAGTGTTGAAATTGTCGGGTTGTCAACTGCATCACTTTCCTCTACTGCCCAATGTAAATTTTTCATCTCTTGACACCCTTGATCTGAGTTATAACAATTTTGAAGGTTCAAGTCCTGTTGAACATCAAAACTTGGCTTCCCTTAAACATCTTGATTTATCTGTGAATTATTTCAATTCTTCAGTACCCAATTGGTTTTACAAGCTTAGTCATCTTGAACAACTTTTTATTTCAGATAATAGCTTGCAAGGATCGATGGGTGCCCTAGGAAACCTGACTTCCACCAAAGTGCTTCATCTATCATTTAATGTTGATTTTGAAGGTGGAATCCCAACATCACTTGGAAGACTTTGCAACTTAAGATCACTGTCTTATCTCATGAGTCACATTGAATCAAGAGATATCTCAAGTCTTGGATATTTTCTCTTAATGTGTTGCAGATGTAGTAGAGTAATTGGATTTGAGTTACAGTCAACTTTTTGGTCCATTGAGCAATCAACTTGGACAGTTAAAAATTTAGAAAACCTTTTCCTACATTACAACTCACTTTCCGGTCCTATTCCATCGTCTTTAGTAGAAGTTTCTTCCTTACAGATTCTATTTCTTCATAATAATAAACTGAATGGAACTCTTTCTGAAGCCATTTTAACAACCTCACAAGACTGTCAAGATTTGATGCATCTGGAAATTCACTAATGTTGAAAGTTAGTGCTCACTGAGTTCCTCCATTTGAACTTCAATGGTTAGCACTACGCTATTGTTCTTTAGGGCCTCAATTTCCATTATGGCTTTGTTCACAAAGGCCTTTGTTTTATCTTGATATATCAAATTCAGGAATTATAGATGTTCTTCCAACGTATTTATTTAAATTTCCTCTTTTATATGTAAATCTTTCTCACAACCAAATCTATGGAGAGATTCCAATTTAACAGAGTCTACTTAACTTGAAGGGCTTCAATTGAATTCGAATAATTTGTCAGGTCCTTTGCCACTTATACCTTCCAATATGTATATACTTGATCTCTCAAACAATGCTTTTTAAGGATTGATTTTTCATTTCTTGTGTTATGAAATGAATGAAACAGAGAGTTTGATGGAAATTCTCATCCTAAATAAAAACCTTTTATCAGGAGAATTACCTGATTGTTGGATGAATTGGCAAAACTTGGAAGTTTTGAATTTAGCTAACAAAAAATTTATTGGAACCATTCCAACCTCTATTGGGCTTCGGTCGATGAACCTTCTCAAAAATAACCTTTCAGGGACAATACCCATTTCAGTTCAAAATTGTACTGATATAATATCACTTGATCTTGGTCACAGTGAGTTTCTTGGAAATGTCCCGATTTGGATAGGAGAAAGATTTTCAACGATGAAGATTCTGAACCTTTGATCAAATAAGTTTTATGGCCTTTTGCCAGCAGAACTTTGCCATCTCCTTTTGCTACAAGTTTTAGACCTTGCCAATAACAATTTGTCTGGAACGATGCTGATATGTATCAAAAACTTCAGTTCCATGATGACAATGAGCTCTAATGACCATGAAATGGATATAGACTACGGATCTAGTGCTGATTTTTATACAGGTTACATGGAGGATTCATTTCTTGTGAAGAAAGGTCAACTTGTTGTATATAACACAATTCTGAAGTTGGTGAGGGTCATAGACCTTTCTAAAAATATTTTCTCAGGAGAGAAAGGTGGTACTGAAGATGAAGTGGACTGGTTCTATGTAAGCATGGCACTTGGATTTGTGGTGGGATTCTGGTGTGTAGTAGGTCCTCCACTCGTCAACAAGAGATGGAGCTACCTGTATTATCAGTTTCTGAATCACCGCCAGAACAAACTTGGCAGTACTCTTGTAAGGAAACGTTACTAAACCTTTCTTTTTCTTTCTTTTTTATTAACGGTATTTTAATGTTTGCATCTTATTTTGAATATACTGAAAAGGGTGTGGGAGACTGATAGAAATTATAAAAGAGTACAAAGCTTCTGCTAATTAAATTTTTTGTTATTTCTTCTTATTGGATTTTGAGACGTATTGTTCATCACGTGCAATCCGTTTCTCATCGTAGACATAGTAATTTCTAATCCTGATGATTTTAACTGTCATGTAAATGTATTTGATCCAAAACACATTCACTTAATTGAGGAATAAAAAATCGTAAACTAATTAGGTTGTCAATGTAAAAATCAGATGATGCTGAATCAAAGTAAGCTGCCATGGAAGGACACTAGTATCAGCTTCAGAAAACTGTTCCAGTAAGGCCAAAAACCTTTATTATATTGAATCAATTGGTTCTCACAAGTGGAACCATAATTGCTTGGTAGATACCGATTCTTTTGGAGCAACATATATCTGAAATTATAAAGAAAACCTTGAGAAAATGCGTTTGCCCAACCACATATATACAATCCACCAACTTAAAGATGTGAGACAAATACAACTTTTAATAATTTAAAAGGAAATAAATATAAGATCATGGAATAATTTAACCAATCAATATGTACAACTCCTTATATTTTAATTAACAAATTCATATGACGATTAAGATGAGTTTGGATTTTCATTATGTTCACAAAAGTAAAACAAAGACAAAGATACCGGAAAAGAAATCTAAAGGGACCGCTAATATGCAAGAGTTAGTTGGCCTTCACTAATTGATTTATCATAATTAAGTCATAAGTGGCGCTCTTACAACCTGTGAGTTGTGATCCACCGAAATGTTGTTACCAATTTTCTACGCATTTCCATGATATAAGTATGAGATGTTGAAAAAGAAGGACAAGGTTAGAAAAATAAGAGATAAAAATATTGTCCTCATTACTTGGTGTCCATGCCGTACATAACAGGTTATAATTATAAACAGTGAGATGTAAAGCAAGTCAGAGAATGAAGAAATTTTCACCTTGGGTTCTGGTCCACCTTAAGACTTTGTGAAAAGTTAAGACACGTAAAATCACAATCCAAATTTTCTCTTTAGTTCCTAACTTGAATAGGAATTGAAACAGGGATCCGAAACAGAATGAATAAAACTTAGAATCAGGACACTATTTCTCTACAAAAGCAAAAATTACACAACTTTAAATAATTATGAATGGCAAGTTATAGAAAGTTTATACTAGGGATGACTTGTCATTCATTAAATTTTTAATAGAAGATATATCGTCCACTGTTACAAATAAATAGATGATGAACGTCATCTATATTCTTTTTTTTTAAGGGGTCTCAAGGGACATTAATAAGCTATTTTTGTTTTGGTAACTCGCAAATAGAATGTTGAAGCATTGTTTGACAGTGTTGAATCATTCGGACTCATCTTATAACAACTTGAGTGGGGAATTCCTTTAAGCACTCAACTTCAAAGCTTTGATGCATCCTACTATATTGGCAACAAACTTTTGGACCTCCACTTCCTAATTGTACTGACGATACTATTTCAGTACCTGTACCTAACCACAAAAATGGAGAGGAAACTGACGATTATGGAGATGAAGTGGATTGGTTCTATGTAAGCATAGAGCTTGGATTTGTGGTTGGCTTATGGAGTTTTATAGGTCCTTTATTAATCATCAGAAGATGGAGGTTTATATATTGTAATTTCTTGGACTCCCTCGGTTACATGTTTTACAGCGTTGTAAGAAAGTGTAAGTAAAAATTTTGTGAAGCTATGTTAGTTTTTGTACTTCAATTATGAAATGAAGAGTTATAATAAATGTGGGAACTCTGTTCGTGTGTGTGTGCGATTGAATGTGTAATTTGAAGTATAATTTTGCAAACATGTAAAAGAATGGATCAACAAAATGTTGTCGTCTTCAAATAGAAGATATACTGTTAGTCTTGTGACTTGAGGTTATTATGTGTCTCTCTAGTTAGGAATTAACACCCTTGATTTCCGCCATTGATCAACCTTTGCATGATTTTGGTTAACACCCGTGATTTCAGCCATTGATCAAGCTTTTGTTGATTTGGGCTAACAGTGTTATAAGAAGACGTAATAGAGAGGTTAAATAAGCAAATACTGCCAGCATTTCTCCATCATTCTTTCACTTCAATGATATATTAAACTTGAAGGAGGGGTTAGAAAAATCAATTAAACTTCAATAGTTTCCTATTGTAACCTTTACTGACTAATTAAATGTCTTTTAAATCACGGTAAGACTTTCTTAAAACTTACATGGGAAATACTGTGAGGTCCTACTTTTCAAACTTCTGTTCCATATGAGTTGGATAAGCTGAGCAATTAAATTGGTCATTCAAGAGAGGTTCCATGGATAATGGATGCTATAAATAGCATGTTATTGGTTACGATTTATGCACACACATTTCTGTTCTTCTAATAATTTGCCTATGAAACCAACCATGAGTATTGTTGTTGCTTTTCTTTTCCTCGAGTTACTCGCCATAGCAACCATCAACATTAGCTTCTGCGATGGAAGCTCTGACCAGCTGGGCTGCATCGAAAGTGAGAGACAAGCACTCTTAAGGTTCAAGCAAGACCTCATTGATCCTTCTAATCGACTTGCCTTTTGGAGAGATGGAGATTGTTGTACATGGGCTGGTGTTGTCTGTGACAGCTTGACAGGCCATGTTCATGAGCTCAATCTTCGAAATCCTTACGATGACTATTCATCTTATGCTTTTACACAGTCAATGTTGGTCGGTAAGTTAAATCCCTCTTTGCTTAATTTGAAGCATTTGAACTACTTGGATTTGAGTGGTAACTATTTTGAAGCAACTCAGTTTCCAAAATTTGTTGGTTCTATGAGGAATTTGAAATACCTTAACCTCAGTCTATGCGGCTTTGTGGGAATGATTCCTCACCAACTTGGAAATCTCTCTCATTTGCAATATCTTGACCTTCGTCCTTACAATCGGAGCAGCTTATATGTCGAGAATTCTGTGTGGTTATCCAATCTTTCTTTGCTGAAACACCTTGACTTGAGTTGGGTGGACCTCAGCAAAGCCTGTGACTTGCTGCCAATGGTAAACACACTTTTATCTTTAGAAGTGTTACAATTGTCATATTGTCAACTTCACCATTTTCCTCCACTACATATTGTAAATTTTTCTTCTCTCACCACGCTTGATCTTTCCAACAACCTATTTGATAATTCTTTGATTCCTAGTTGGGTTTTTAGTCTTAGTTATTTAGTACATTTGGATCTACATTATAACAATATTCAAGGTCCGATTCCTGATGAACTTCAAAACCTTACGTCTCTGAGATATCTTGTGTTGTCTTACAACCGTTTGAATTCTTCAATACCCAATTGGCTTTACAAATTTAGTCATCTTGAGTACCTTTGTCTGTACAACAATAATTTGCAAGGTATGATATCTGAAGATATAGGAAACATGACTTCCATCAATTGGCTTGATCTCTCACTCAATAAACTTGAAGGGAAAATTCCAAGATCATTGGGAGGACTATGCAAGTTGAGGTCTATTCTTCTATCACATATTAAATTAAGTCAAGATATATCAGAAGTTTTTGATATTTTTTCAGGATGTGTTTCAGATAGAATAGAGCATGTTTATTTGCTGAGTAGTCATCTTTCTGGTTGTTTGCCTAATCAACTTGGGCAATTTAAAAACATAGCCAATCTTTATCTAAGTGACAACATGATTTCAGGTCCTATTCCAGTGTCTTTAGGTGAACTCTCATCCTTGAGAACTTTAGATCTTTCGTTTAACAAATTGAATGGAACTCTTTCTGAAATTCACTTTGCAAATCTTACAAGACTTTCGTTTTTTTATGTATGTGGAAACTCTCTAATGTTGAATGTAAGTCTGAATTGGGTTCCTCCTTTTCAACTTCAAGAGTTAGGATTGAGATCTTGTCATGTAGGTTTTCAAATTCCATTGTGGTTTTATTCCCAGAAGAGTCTAATTTATCTGGATATTTCCAATTCTGGAATTATATCCACAATTCCTAATAGGTTTTGGAAATTATTTCCCAGCCTTGTTTCTTTTAATCTCTCTCACAACCAAATCTATGGAGAGGTTCCAAATTTAACTGAAGCTATTCATCTTGAGTTATTTGACTTGAGCTCGAATAACTTGTCCGGACCATTGCCTCTTATATCCATCTATATGAATGCACTTGATCTTTCTGACAATGCTTTTTCAGGATCCATTTTCCATTTTGTGTGTTATAGGATGAATGAGACAAAGGGAATGAAAATACTTAACCTTAGGAACAATTTGTTATTTGGAGAATTACCTGATTGTTGGATGAATTGGAAATACTTGTTGGTCTTGAATTTAGGTCGCAATAGTTTTCATGGTAACCTTCCAAACTCAATGGGAACGTTAAGTTCCCTTCAATCGCTGCACCTTCGCAGAAATAGTCTCTCTGGGGAAATTCCTGCATCATTGAAAAACTGCACAGAGTTGATTGCCCTTGATATTGGTGAAAATAAGTTTTTCGGAAATGTTTTGATGGGGATTGGAGAAAGATTTACCAAAATGATGATTCTCAACCTCCGTTCAAATAAGTTTCATGGTTTCTTACCAACAGAGCTTTGCCTTCTAACTTCTATACAAATCTTAGATTTGGCTGATAACAATTTCTTTGGAAGTATACCAAGATGTATCAATAACTTCACAGCCATGGTCACAATGAGCTATTCTGGAGGCAACTGCATTCAATATTTATCTAGTTCTCCTTATCCAGGATCCTATCGTGGTTTTGCAATAAATTATCATGAAGATGCATTGCTTGTGATGAAAGGGAAAGCAGTTCAATATGACACAACTCTTAATTTGGTAAGAATCATAGACCTTTCCCAAAACAATTTCTCCGGGGAGATTCCAATGGAAGTGACAAATCTTGTTGCGTTGCAATCATTGAACTTGTCATATAATTATCTTAGTGGAAGAATTCTTGAAAATATTGGTGCTATGAAATCAGTGGAGAGCATTGATTTCTCCAAAAATCAACTTTCTGGTGAAATCCCATCAAGTATTTCAAAGTTAACATCTTTGAGTCACTTGAATTTATCCAACAATAATTTGTTTGGAAATATTCCTTCAAGTACTCAAATACTAGGCTTTGATGCATCTTGTTTTACTGGCAATGAACTTTGTGGTGCTCCACTTCCTAATAATTATGTAGTGATTGTTCCAACACCTGATGATCAAAATAGTGGAGACAACGACGGTAATGAAGATGAAGTTGATTGGTTCTATGTAAGCATGGCACCTGGATTTGCAGTGGGATTTTGGTGTGTAATAGGACCCCTAGTCGTCAACAGGAGATGGAGGTACATGTATTGTCAGTTCTTGAATCGCCTTCAAGAGAAACTCGGTAATCTTGTAAGGATGTGTTACTAGAATTTTCTTCTTTTGTTTTTGGTCTTATAATGTTTGGAGTTTTTCTGGAATGTTGTAAAAAGGGATGATATCAATGTTGAAATCATATTTGCCTGTCCTTACATACTACAAGTATTAATGCATTCCTTTCTATCTGAGTTGGACATAAAAACCTTGAATTTATGAATGAATGAAAAAACTACAAAAAAATAAGGTAAAATCTACTAACAAAGAAATAGAAAACATGAAAATTAAAAAGAAACAACGAAACAATATTTGCAGTGAACAGAACAAGAGAAAAGTTTCATACTTGCAAAACAAATATAGCTAAACAATTCAATTATGAGAAAACTTGAATGAAAATTTATTAATAAATGATCTCAATATAAGTGCTGATTACCAGATCTTTGAGGATATGATTTACCCTCAATCCATTTAATTATTTAGTTTAACTTGAAACAATACTCCAGTAGTGGAAGACTAAAAGAAATTAATACTTTTTTGACCAGTCTTCTCTGTTAGCGGGAAACTTACAGAAACTAAAACATAATTGACTTTTGTAACCTTTATCACCATCCTCTGCCAGCCGTTGCAATTTTTTCGTCTCTTGCCGCTCCCGATCTAAGTGATAATGCTTTTGAAGGTCCAATCCCTAATGAACTTCAAACCTTAACTTAGACAGCTTTATTTATCAAAACTTGAATTCTCCATAAATCAACTTTACGGTGAAATCCCACAAAGCATTTCGAGGTTGACATATTTGGATCACTTGAACTTATCAAATAATAACTTAGTTGGAAGCATTCCTTGGAGCACTCAATTACAAGAATTTGGTGCATCCAGTTTCACTGGAAATAAACTTTGTGGACCTCCACTTCCGACGAACTGTACTGCAACTGTTCCATGCCGATCCTAAGAATGCAGAAGGAGATGTCAGGAAGTATGAAGTTCAGTGGTTCTATCTAAGCATGCCTCTTGGGTTTGTTGTGGGTTTTGGTGTGTTATCATCATGGTAACGTTACCATTGTGCTGCACCATCACTGTATCATTACTGGTACTTCACGGTAACATTACAATTATGCTGAATCATCCCTGTAAAGTAACGCTAGTAAGGTTACCGTGGCAATGTACCATCACGGTAATATTACCAGAACCTGAGGCACCATTTACATTACCGTTATGCTGCACCATCACTGTAATGTTACTGGTACTTCACAGTAATGTTACTGTTGCAGTGTATCATCGCAGTAACATTACCAGAACCTAAGGCACCAGTAACTTTACCATTATGCTGCACCATCATCTTATGGTTACTGTACCACAAAGCACCTATAACGTTGCTATTGCAATGTACCATCATGGTAACATTACCAGTGCCTGAATTACTGTTGCAATGAACATCACCATGATAGTACTGTAAGCTGAGGCACGGTAGCCATGTTGTAGCATCACAGTAACCTTACCGGAAGATGAGGTACCAATAGCAAGTTCAGTTACATTACCAATGGACAATGATTTTCGGTGCTGTAACAAAAATTGAAAGGGAAAAACAGGAGTAAAAGAAGAGAATCAATGACACCAATAGACATCACAAATTAGAAAGATGAAATGAAAAGAGAAGAAGAGAAACGAAATGGTTCGGTTTAGAATCAGGGTAAATTGTGACCCCTTTGGTCCCTCACTACTACAGCATCCAACGTCAAGTTTTGAGGCTAAAAGTTAATATATTTTAATAGACAATGACTTTCAACCGATCCAAATGATAAAGGGTAAAATCACAATCTAAAGTCTTTGAACTCTGTTTTGAACAGAGCTTGAAACAAAAAAGAGTAATTTCCTAAGAGATCACATTCCCATATTCTCCTCTTTAAAGCTTTCAACAAATTAAATTATCAATTTGCTACTTCTCCATATTGGTTTCTTAGGTACTTGTGGAGCTACATTATTTCCCACTTTTTCCATTACATGATCATTGTGCATATTATTATTTCTTTTCCTGAACAAGTTATTTGCTCTGGACTTTCTTTAAAATTCCCCGTCGTTCAAAAAACGTTCACCTTTTAATAAGAGATACGACAAGAAAGTAATAAACTAGCTTAAAAGGGGATATTAACTAACCAAATCTTGCATATTAAGCTAGTTGATTACTTTCTTGTCATAATTGATAGTTACATATATGAGATATTGAAACGGAAGGAGGAAGTTAGAAAAACGAGAGCTATAAATATTGTCCTCATTACTTGGTGTCCACCTTAAGACTTTGTGAAAAGTTACGACATGAGTAAAATCACAATCTAAATTCTCTGATCTCTGTTCTCTGTTTTGAATAGAGCTTGAAACAGGGGATCCCAAAACAGAGTCACTTCCTAAGATATCACATTTTCATATGTGCTTGTTAATTAGAAAAATCAGAGCAAGGTATTATATTTAATTAACTTGGATTCCACTATTAGAAGTGAGAAATCTTGTGGAATTGGAGTCATTGAATTTCTCACACAATATTTTTACGGGAAGAATTCCTAACAATATTGGTGGCATGAAATCAATGGAGTCTGTTGATTTTTGTAGAAATCAGCTTTCTAGAGAATTTCCATCGAGCATTTCAGGGTTATCATTCCTAAGTTGAACTTATCCAACAACAACTTGGTAGGAAAAATTCCTTCAAGCACTCAATTGCAAAGCTTCGATGTATCCTGTTTCACTGGCAATGAACTCTATGGACTCCGCTTAACAAGAATTGTACTGTGACTGTTCCAATGCCGGACTATAACGAGAACGGAGGAGAAAAAAAATGCTAATGAACATGAAGTTGACTGTTTTTATGTAAGCATGGCACTTGGATATATGGTGGGTTTTTGGGCTGTCATAAGTCCTTTTCTCATCAGCAGAGGATGGAGGTTTGCGTATTATCATTTCTTAGATAACGTTTAGTACGGCTCCGTTTGGTTCACAATTGGGTATTTTTGGGAAAAGTTTTCTGAAAAAAATTAAAAAAAAGTTGAATTGGGCAGGTATTACGATGTAGGATTTATAAATTATAAAATACCCCCTATATTTATTTATTTACAAAACACCCCCTATAATAAAATCTTAAAAGTTAACAAAAACACCCCCAACCCAATGTCAAATACGGACAGCCGGCCACCACCGCCGGAGGGTGGCCGGGTTCACCGTATTGGCGCATGACTGGCTGGATCTTGCCGGTCGTGCGTCGATATGGCCTTTGCCGGCCAGATCTACGGCCAGATCTGGCCGTATTTTCTCGTCAACGACGACCAACAAACGGTCGTCGTTGATGGTCAATGACGACCGTTTGTTGGCCGTCGTTATAAACCGTTACGGCCAAAGAGACGGCCAGATCTTTGGCCTTAGATCTGGTCTTTTCCGGCCAGATCCACCGTGGATCTGACCGGAAAAGGCTAGATCGGCGCACTACCGACCAGATTCAGCCGGTCGTGCGCCATCTTAACAGATTCCAGCCATTTTCCGGCAGTGGTGGCCGGAATCTGGTAAATATGAATTACTGGGGTGTTTTTGTAATTTTTAAAAAAATATTTAGGGGTATTTAATTAAATTATAAAATTTAAGGGGTTTAAAAAAAGTTGAATAATATTGGGAGTAGTATTCCCAAAAATCAAAGTTTTTGGGTATTTTACTGTTTAACTTTTTTGGGAATACTAAAAGTAGTATTCCCAATTGACAACCAAACGGAGCCTACAAGTCTGGCACTGTTGTTAGAAATAGTTTTTGTACTTCAATCACGATGAGATCAAGGTTTGCAGAATAATAAATAATAAAAGTTGATGTTGCGATTGGATTGTTGAATTTTTGGTTCGTTGTCAATATTAATTTGCTTTCTCGTCTTATGTATTTAAAAACAATAGTTGAACATTGGTAATTAAATCAAGACAAAGACAGTTGGAAAGAAAAAAAGGAAAGGACCAGCACCAATAATAGTTTAAGTCTTCTCTTGATTCCGAAAGTGTTAATTACTCTTGGAAAATTCCACATTCCTAACTATCATATTTCTATGTGTGGTGGACATATTTGCATATATTATCCTGAATTTAACTAGAAATTTGTTCATTATCAACCAAACATCAAGAATAAGTTTACACAAACGTACACGCAGCTTATGACTATCCAAATTTTTGTGAAAGACCTGTACATAGCTGAATATTATCAAAGTGTAAATATAATTCTTAATCCAATCTCTGAAATTGTGATGCCTGTGTTGAACCTGGGCCTAAATTTCCAGTTAAATGTAGAAAGCTGAGGTCTTGCTTTTCCAAATTGAATTTAAGACGCGCTGGAAAATTTGAAATCTTCATTGGAGGTTAACTTTTCCACGCAACTTTTCAAAGTTTTAATGCTAGATATCTACTGGAGGGAGAAAAAGGCCAAAATGTTTCACATTACTTGAATTTAATAATGTAGTCAAAGATAAAGACTCTTGAAAATGAAAGGACAGCCCAGTATAGTGATTGCCTTATCTCGACTTCATTTCCTATGAATTACTCGTGAATAAAATTCTTTTCTGCAAAGGATTTGCCCCTTCTCCAAAATTGAATTCTGAAGGTATCAATAGTTGACTTGGAGCCTACTCTGTTAACGGAGGCTAACTTTTCCAGGCAACTGTACAATGTAGGTCCACATTAAATGAATTGATAAAGAAACCAATGTAGGTCCACATTTCGGGTCAATTGACTATGAGGCCATGGGGGTCCCTTATCTTTGAAACAGGGGATCTTGGAGCCACGTGGCCCACTAACATCTTTAAAATCTTGATGTTATCAGTAAAGATCAAAGAAATTTCCTGCAAGTTTTAAAATTGATTTCTGGACAAACTAGTTGAGTGGTTCAGTGAACGGAAACTCTATAAATAGCAGGCCACTAATAATAATATTCTCATGCAGAATTCCTTTTCCGTAAACTTTTCCTACACAAATGAAAACCATGAGCATTTTTCTTGCCTTTCTTTTCATTTCCACAACCCTCAACATTAGCTTCTGCGGAGGAAG